CAACAACAACAACTCCTACCACTACCACTACAAGGTCCACGACTCCTACCCCAACAACTACTACTACCACCCCCACGACTACTACTATAAGCAGCTCTAGTATAGTGAACGGAAGGGAGATACTCGTAAGTCCTTACATCACTCATTATCATCTATATGATCTTTTATTGGATATTATCGATAGTGTGACACATAGCGTGTCACCACCACCACGACCATGATGAGTTTAACTCTTCAGGATTCCTCTACGAATTTGGATGCATCGACGAGGCCGCTCCCACCAGATCAGGTGAGCTCATTATTCTACACTTACATGAATTCGAGGATGAAAATAGTGCCCATAAGAATTGAAATATTATTTTGAGAATATTTGTTATACTTGGACAATTTTCTGATATCTTTTCGGGAATACATTTCATTGGAGTTTCACAACCCGTTTTACGCGAAGTGGCGTAAAACTCTGTGAAAAACGCGATATTCGCGGTGATATGCAGTAGCAGTCGTGAAATATGTTTTTCACTAGTGTTTTTTATATCACTAGGGTGAAACTCCATTAGTTTTCGTTGTACTTTTTTTATCATAAAAATTTGATGCTTTTCATACTACTTTTCAGATGTGAGTATTTCATGGCACATATTATCTATTTAATATTCATTTTCTCGCTGGTATCTTTTTCATACTTTCGGACACCTCTGTGGAATAAATTTCACAGAGGTCAATTTCGTGAAGTTGAATTTTTTTCCCAGAAACTTATTCTTGTGTTCTTTTTTCAGTCAGGGAGAATTCATACGACTCAGCCGGTTATGACCACGGTGAGAGGGGCTCCGATGGGGAAATCTTAGATGACTGCTTGCTGATCCCGTGGGGAAAAACAAGCTATTGATTTTGGAAATTTTTCTGGAAATTTTTCGGCTGAAAAACGGGATTCCCTCCCCGATGAAATTTTCTAATATCAGAAACTCTACTGTATAGTGACGGCTCAGCTGCCATTGAAATAATAGTTTTCGGAAAGTAGTTTTTTTGTTTTAGACAAGTACCACAACTCCTTCAACTCCCTATGGTTGGGCGGATAAGGTGAGTTGAAATATTGTAGGGAAATCGATATTGCTTATCGTGAGCTTTGTATAAAACTTAATTGAAAAATTCCGGGAAAACGCCAATGGAATATACACTGATACGACGAGAAGGAGCAGCAAAGGCAAAGAAGAAAGGCAAATTAGCTGGATGTTGCACGCATGCACACTCGTGCACTTGTGTAGATGTGTCTCCTTGAGTGACGCTGAGAATGATGCAGTTGCCTTGAAATTTTCAGTGCACAAATGTCACATCATTTTCAGTGTGAAATTGATATGATATTTATAATTCAGTGATGGTCACTGAGTTACGCGTATGGCGTGAAAAAAAATTGGTGAAATGTTGAAGATATCTGCAAGATACGAGTAAAGCGAGTTCCGGGAAAGGAGTGGTGTGAGTACAGCGATCCAAGAACAAATAACATCATCAGTGTTGTGAAAACCAAGGATGGTGTGAAAATTGAAGGGAAATGTTGGAAACTTGGGTAAAATCGATCACTCGGGCGCGCGCTTTTTACGTTGCTGGTCGTTGGCAGGAAGATGGTGGAAATTAAGGAGGAAGCTCCAACTGAAGTGATTCGAACAGTGCAGGCGTCAGGGGACGGCTCTGGGCTGAAATGCGAGTCGGTGTTTATGACTTATTCTACTGCGACGGGCGCACGCCTTGAGGGTATCGCTGCATGGGTATGTGATAATGTTGAGACTCCGAAGTGGTGGAAGAATGGTATCAGGGATAGAAAGGTGAGAAATTAATTCGCGAATATATTGATTGTGGGAAAAATCAGGATTTTTGTAAATTTTATGCCGAAATTTTACGGAATTTTTGATTTTTAAGAAAATATACTCGTCAAGTGATATTTGGTCGTTGGTTTCAACGAAAGAAACTAAAATTTTGGCGAGAATGCTGGCAAAAAAATCCTACTGTGGAAAATTTTTGAAAATTTTTTCTCCAAGTTTTCCGGCGGAAAATTTGGTTTTTTCTTTTTTTTTGAATATTAATTTTTGGTAGGCATTCGCATCTACATCGAATTGCGTTCTGGTTGAGCAAGGACCTCGCGTGACGGTTGTGCAGTTGGCTCGGTTGGGGGAGGAAATTGTAACGTGGGGGAATTGCCCGGAGCTACAGCAAAATCGGGAACAGCCCAGGTGAGCGAAAAACTCAATTCTGTGGGAAAACGATTTCCGGGAAATTGTGGGAAATTTTTCCCCGTGTGTGTTGGTGATTTTCTTTGTGCATTTTTATTGTTATGGGCATGTATGTTGATGACAATGAGAAAGTGTTGTTGATTTTCCGTGGATTTCTACTCTCATACCTAACCGAATGAATGCAATCTAATATCACCTCAGCTGAGCTCAGGAGTTCCCAGAGCTACATCATGGAAATTTGCGCAAAAGTGTACGGAAAACCAACAAAAAATTTCCCAAAATTTTCTCACACAGGCGTGTGGAGGGAGTGATTTTTTTTGGGATTAAATTCGGTTGACGAATTCAATAGTATCATTCGAAAGTGAATCGTGGAGAGTGATAATATACAGATGTATAGCCACCCACTAGCCCCCCACGTGATTGACGATTTGTTCTATAGTTGGTTGAGTTTTTTGCATTTTTGTCTTGGGACCTCATATGGCTTCATCTCGCAACTCTGTTAAGGTCGTGAAATGAAAAGGTGATTAGTTTTGAAAACTATCTTTTTTGTTGATGATGATGAGCTCATTGTAGCTGTGCGTAGTTTTCTATGTTCATCGTAGGTCACTTCGCTTTCCGACACCAGTGAAAACTATGGAGTTGGGAAAAGAAATGTTAAAGTTGAACCATGCCTTGGACTGCGGACAGCTGGTTGGGTCCTGGGTTTCGAGCAGTGTTACTAACGTCACTGAGGCGGTGAAGGAAGTCTGCAGTAGGGAAGTGCTCTTACCGAGGTGGTTGGAGGTTGCTAAGCAGGAGGTGAGTTGAAATCGATCAAACGGGCGCGCGCTAATTGAATCGCGACATTTGGTGTTTTGAACGAAACGAAAATAATGGGAAAGTATAGATTGTTGTACAAAAATTCTTTTTGATGCTGTTACTGTTAAGTTAACAAAGATAGAGTATATATTGGAATCGGAAAAAAAAATAAATTTCACGTTTCGCGAAAATATTTTCTGTTTTCAGAAATTACTCGATGAGAAAGAGTGCAAATTATGGGAGTCTCAGAAGCAGCAGGAGGTGATGTTGAGTCGCTTGCCAGGGGGAGGCTGGGGAGCAAAAGCAAAGTGCTATCAGCACGTTGGTGTGGATCAGCTAAAGAAACCGTGAGGGCGCAGGTTCGATCCCCGGTGGGGGTATTTTTTGTCAGATTATTTGATCTCAAACTTTCCCCTACTACTGTGAAGAACTTGGGGAGCGCCCAGACGTGTGTGGAAGCCCTCACTGAATTCGCACCTGAGGGGGTGCTTACGGTTCCGCATGCACTTAGTTATATATGTCATGTGAACCTACCTGTTAATGGTAAAGTACAGTGGCAGACGCAAGTAAGTAGTGATGAATTTTTGAAGGACATTTTTGGAGATTTTTGGAGAGCTCATGGCCTTTGAGATTTGCTAACTCAACTAGAGTCGTTAATAGGTGATTTTTAGCCCATGATCGATAAATGAGTCATAAAGTTTACGCCGGGCTACACCATATAATATAACAAAAACAAGAGGGGTTATCCATTCATAATATGTCATATTATTCTTTGGAGCCTCACTGGTGTATCACGTCAGTTTACGTAAAACGGGTTGTTGTGAAACTCCCACTATATTAAATTATATTCATTTAGTGGTCCTCAGAAAGTTAGGTTAGAAACTTGTATACAGCATTTCCTCGGACATAGCTCGATAGCTGTGAAGCAGTGTAGGAAGTATGCACATGGTCAACTACATGTGTTGGTGGTGACAATATGAAAGTTTTGGGGAAAATTATTATTGATTTCTTTACACTTCTACCCGAATTCGTATGTGAGTTCGTGAACTCAGCTGAGGAAAGCAAACATATACTCCAACATTGAAAAAATCGCAATTTTCGACAGTTTTTTCTTTGGATTGTCTGTTTGAGATATCGGTGTTATATTTCTGCTCAGGTTCGCACTTCGGGAAGTACCTGCAGTCTCGAGAGCCTCAACCCTGTCCCTGCTGGAAATAGTAAACCTCGAGTTCAAATAACGCGAGAGGTTTACTCGTCACCAGCAAGGACAAACTTTTTATTTACTGCTATGCTGCAGTGCCCATCTGAGAGCGGGTGAGAGGAATTTTATCGATTGTGAAAATTTTTTTAGGGAAAAAATTCAGAGTTTTTGGTATGCGAGTAGTAGTTTGTGATGTAGTGGTAATAGTTTGTGGTGCGTTGAGAGAAAATATGCACATGGTCAACAACTTCAAATGCGAATTTTGAAGAGATTTTCGTTGGTTTTGTAGTTTTCATATGAACTCGTATTGTTAAGTGAAGAAACCTGTGGAAGCAGCTGAGAAGGATGAGAACATGTTCCAGCACTGCTTTTCATTTAGCGGCGAGCTTTTGGAAAGGATTGAATGAACAATGGAATTGCATATGAATAGAAATTGAGTGAGAGAAAATCCAGAAATTTCAAATTGGAGTTTCATCAGCTGAGATTAGAGGTTTTCTCGATTATTAACAACAAGAATTACGGTAAGGAACCGATGAGAATTTTGCAAAAAGTTTCTTAGAATTTTCATATGGTCATCAACACATGTAGTTGAGCATGTGTATATTTTTCCACACTGTGGCAAAGTTCGACTCGTTCTGTTGTGGAATTTTCACGAATGGGAATTTCGCAGTATTGATTTTTTTATTTCAGGGCTCGTCGAGTTACCATTCCTTCTGCGAAAGTGACGAAGTTAGAACATAACATTCGCTGGTTCTGCGGCTCGGTGTTAGCGCAGTTCCTGGTGGAAGGCCGCTTTCCCCCTGAGGTTACTCCCGATGGTTTTATACACGACATGTGTGAAGCGAAAGAGTATAGGAACATGACCATTGACGAGTTAGCAGGGGAGAAGCGTAGACGGCAAAAAATGAAGGCAATTCAGGAGGAGTATATGGAGGAGCTGAGGGAGCGGTATAAGGTGAGTTGATTGCTTACGAAATTGCTTACCAGTGGTTTTAGATGTGAAATTTTGAGGGAAAAAGTGGAAAATTTGGATGGTTTTGAGTTTCATAGGATACCGTGTTGTCATAGGGAGAACAATGGAGTTTCACCACCCTAGTGATATGAAAAAGAGAAGTGGAAAATATATTTTTGCGACTACTACTGCATATCACCGAGTTTTTCAGAGAATTTTACGCCATTTTACGTAAAACGGGTTGTTGTGAAACTTCCATGTGTTGAGGTTGTTATGAGTAATATCGAAGCGAAATGTAGATGTGGGAATGGGGACAGGAAATAGCGCATTCGCTCATCCGTGAACATCGTAGCGGTGTTATTCTTTCAGAACACACCGAAACCGGTAGCAGGCCCTACAGTGAGTACACTGAGCAGGACAGAAGTACGGCGGAGCGAAGTTTTTTTCCTTGTACGTTTTTTTGTATTTAGAAAGTAATTGATGCGAAGTTGAGAAAAGGAGAAGGAACGCAATCGTGTCATTTGAAGTCGGCTGATGTGGACTTAACAATTTCGCGAGAAGTGGAAGCAGTGACGATAACTCAAAAGGGTTGCCCGTAAGTTGGTGTGGTTGGTAGCAGTGTTGGAAAATATGTACATGGAAAGTATGGTGAAAATGAGGAAATTTGGGAAAATTTTTGTTTTTTTGTGAAACTGTTGTTAACTCAGTTGAGGAGAGGGAACGTAAATTACTTCAACGCTGATTGGTAATTGCTAGTTTATGTTGCTCTCGGAAATACGACACGAGGTCATGGAAATGGACTGTTGTTTTAATATGAGAGAAAAACGCGGATGTTGAGAGCCCTTACTCGGTTTTTTTCGGGAAAAAATATCGCGAAAACTGTCTGCCCACAGTTTTTCGGAGAAAAATAGTTTTCGGTATGAATAAATATGAAATTATTGGTAGTGACGTGTGGTGAGTTTGATAGATTGTAGATCATTTATGTTCAGGGGCGTGTTTTTACAGCGTTTTCAGATCAAATTATTTTTTTCACCCGAAAATTTAAGGTTAATGTTTTGCATTTTTCGTTGATATTTTCCCGATGGTTTTGATCGAATACTAGGAAAATGAATGTTAGGACGGGTAGTTTAGTGGAAATGTATCCGTGTTTAGGGGGGCGAGTAAGAGAAGTACAGCTGCTCCGAGGGCTACGGCATCAGCGATGGCGAGAGGCGACTCTTGTGGGGTGGTTTTTGGTACGCTGGCATCGACCAATCAGGAGAAGGCAGCCTATGTGTCGGAAGTGTGTAAGGGTTACTTTAGTGAGCTCTAATGAGTTGTTTTGTTGAGGCTTTTGCTTGTGATGCATGCTCATTTGTACCACCTTGTGCTACTGTTGATGACAAGTTGTGTGTTGTTGGGTTGGCATAGTGGTGTGGGAATAAGGAAGAGATGAGCACCTTGAAATATCTTCAATGGAGTTTCACCCTAGTGAACTAATGCATATCACCGCAAATATCGCGTTTTACGCCACTTCACGTTAAACGGGCTGTGAAACTCCCACTACTTGTGTTATTTCACTTTTATTGATATCTCAAACGAAGACAGTGCATAAGCTGTGCTAGTTGTTGGTGGTAATACATATTGATATATGTCTAACTCTTAGGTAGTGGGAATAACGGAAGTAAATGCACTAATCTGTATTCTACTTGCGTGCCACAGCTAATTTAAAGTGCTAAAGAATCACAAGGAAACAAGTCGATCCCTATACCGCGTACAGCAACAACTGCGGCATTCACATGGTCGTAGCTGGCCCGATCGTTTTGATGGATACTATCTGGTAGCAACATGGTGATCCTTGATTGAACAAGAGTAAAGTTTGCCTCCTCATTTTAAAGGAGACACTCAAGTGTATTAATGATCATCAATTTCGCGTTAGGAGATTTCGTGAATCATTGGGGCGAGCGAGATTTTAAATGCACTGCATCATAACTTTTCCCGTCTACTTTGCCGCTGCCGCGTGAATGAGGCGACAAGCTGTTTTAGTAGGTGTGGGGAGCCCCTTAGGAGTCCCTACGTTATTACTTCCAGAGTAGGGGGGCCAGAATCATCGGTTTGCCTAGAGCCCCAGAAAAACTGTAAATTCAGATAACGGCAGTGAGTAGGATAAAGGCCCCCTCCAGTAGGGTCCGATTTCAGGAGATTTGAAGTTTAGTGGTTTTTTCTGTGGTATAATGGAGTTTCGCAACAACCCGTTTTACGCGAAGTGGCGTCGTAAAACTCTGTGAAAAACGCGATAGTCGCGGTGATATGCAGTAGTAGTCGTGAAATATATTCTTCATATCACTAGGATGGTGAAACTCCAATGGATTCCACAGAAATGAGGAAGAAATTATGATGATGATAGTAAAGGTCGTTTGAGACCCTCGTGAGGAGCGAAGTCGCTGTTGGGTAAACGCATGTGTACCAACAGTTATTATAATGAATAACGAGACCGACACACAATCGATTGAAGTGGCTGATCCTTTCGAAAAGCTCAGAGATTTCAAAGTGACGGTGCAGCTGTACCCGATGGGTGACGTTTTCACGATAAAAAAATTTCCAATTTTTCGCGACTGAAATTAGGAAGAGTGTTACCACTACGTTTCGGTAGAAAGGAATAATAGTCGTATGGTGTTGTGATAATGTGGGGAGGGGGAAGGGAAAAATGTTCGACCCGAGGATTGAACCTGGGACGTCTGCTTATCATCCTCATGCTTTAACCGCTGCATGATTACGACGTTGGCAGCTCGGCAGAGTCAAGTTGTTCAACGGGAAATTCATCATGCATTCAAACGGAAGGATGCTGCGGCTCTTGTGGAGATACTGAAAAGTGAAAAGGTAGATGATAGTATGCTAGTCGGGAGAATTAGTAGAGTTTGTGGAGTCGATGCATGAGGAGGAAGGCCAGGTCGCGGAG